TCTCTCTCTCTCTCTCTCTCTCTCTCTCTCTCTCTCTCTCTCTCTCTCTCTCTCTCTCTCTCTCTCATGCCTTCATGCACGCCAAGAAGGAAGCATGACTGCCCAGACTGTTTCACCGGAGTTTGAACCCTGACAGTCTGCCGAAGATGCATCTGAATGCGTGTGTGACGTCATTTTCGCTTTACACAACTCCATAAGAAAAGCTTAGACTATGCCAGACTGAACCAAGCACCGCTTCCACGATGCACGTAGCACAGCTGGACTAAGAACGAAGAACAGATCCCACGAACCAACCGTCGACGCACGTAGCACTCAAACCAAACCAAGAACGAACCAAGCACGGAGTCGCACGAAGTAGCACAAATGCACCCAGCAGCACCAAGTAGCACGAAAGTGGCACTGATGCACGAACCAAACATGACCAAGCACGAAGTTCCAAGAACGACATACCAAGCACTGTGAAAGAGAGAGGGAGAGGGAGAGAGAGGGCCACAGAGAGAGAGAGAGAGAGAGAGAGAGAGAGAGAGAGAGAGAGAGAGAGCACTACGGTGGGCAGGCCGTATGTGAGGAGGGCAGAGGTGGAGATGAAGTGGGCAGAGGCGGATGTGAGGTGGGAGGAGGTGAGCGTAGGCGGAGGAGTGGAGGCGGAGGAGAACTGGCGGGGGAATGCCGCGGGAGAAGTGGGAAAGGAATCCCTATGGGTGGGGGGAGGCGGAGGGGAGGGGTCCGGCGGGCGGAAGCGCAGGCGAGGTGGCCCCCGAGCGGAGAAGAGGTGGGTGGAGGCAGGGAGGAGATGGTGGGCGATGGCGGAGGGGAGGTGGGCGAAGGCGGAGAGGAGATGGCAGGGGGAGGTGGAGTGGAGGTGGGCGGAGGTGGAGTGGAGGCGAGGTGGGCGCCGGGCGGAGAAGAGGTGGGCGGAGGCAGAGAGGAGATGGTGGGCGGAGGCCGAGAGGAGATGGTGGGCGGTGGTGGACGTGAGATGGCTGGAGGAGGCGGAAGGGCCCGTTGGACTTCGGTGCAGGGAAAGAACCGCCCTGCAACGGGCCACAGCGCCGCCCTGCAACGGGCCCTGTTTCCAACGGGTGCGCCAATCCGGGCCGCCCGTGGTCCTACGAGCCCGACGGTCCGGATTTCCGCGCGATCTTAAGACTTTAAGATCGCGCGATTATCCAGGCCGTCCGGCAAAGCGGACAGTCTGGATCGCCGAGCGATCTTAAAGTCTTAAAGTGTTAAGATCGCAAATAGCAATTTCTATAAGTGTAGGGAAAAACCAATTTTTACACCCTTTCCCCCCTCTTTGACAGCCAACACTAGAAAAAAAATAGGAGCCCGGATTTGGGCTCCTCTGGCCATGCACGGAAAACACTCACCCAAAAAAAAAAGGTAAAAAAAAGGGCTTATTTTTGCCTGCACAGGGTGTCCCGAGCAGGTGACCCCCAGGTGACTTGCCTGGGTTACACGCCCATGTGGAACACCCGGGCCAGCCAAGTAGCCTAGGTCTTATGGTCATGGTGTCTTTCTATCCTTGGAGTCCCCCTTGTCCAAGATATTGACAATCCCGTTATCCAAGGCCTTTTATATTTCAACTCCTTGTCTAAGTTAGAATTTTACAAAATCTTGCGAAAGGAATGGATGACTCCAGCGGTCCGCCCTTGAGGAATCTCGTTTTCACAGATGTAAAATGGCAGCAAGGGGTAGCAATAGCTGAGAGGATTCGAAGACTTGCCGCACAAGTGGTTGACGGGGAACCCCACTTTTCGGCCCTAGGTAACGATGAATGATCCTGAAATTAGGGTTTCGGGGTCAATTTTTGTGTTTTTTTGGATTTTTTTTTTTTTTGCCTGTTTTTGTTTTAGGACAAGCTTGCTGTGTGTCAAATTTGGTGTCATTTGGGTTATTAGAATTTGTGCTGTTAATCATCCTGAAAACAGTGCTCGCAATCTGTGTGTATGTTGCAAACTGCATCCGACCCAAATCTGGTCTGCAAAAAAAACTACAATTGTGCCCAGCCCCAACTGCAAACAAATATTCTGGCCAGCTGTCCAAACTAGATAGCTGGTTTTTGCAGATTTTCCAAACTGCACCTGACCCAGCCAGAAACCTGAAAAATTAGCCAACTGCAGCCAGCCAGTCTAGGACCCAATTTAAAGCCACTCTGGCTGCGCAGACTGAAATAAAGTTGTAGGCCTATCTGCAGCCAGTGGCAACAATTTTCTGCTCTGCCCAGGTACATTTTTCCTTTTTTTTGTTTTGTTTTCTTTGTGAACTGAAAATTCAAATGAACATCATTATTTAGAAGCAATGCGCGCACCAGCGTGGTACGCCCTGTCCCCCTCTCTCTCTCTCTGAGGATGAACCCACTATTCCTGTCCTGCCAGTTTGCCACCCGCCAGCTTACTGAGCTTAGGGGCTTCACAATTTTGAAGTTTGTCTGCTAGCTGCCCCAAGGACGTTTCCCACCCACACAAAGTCGATGTGACACTCAGACATCTCACACGTAGCTGCCCGSTGCCCCAAGGTCATTTCCTGCCCCAGGGAATTGAAGTGATGAGCTCCAGCATGTTGCTGCCGCAGGTGTTCCGAAAATGAACGCACAGACCCTTCATGCAGTTCAGATACATTGACACTGTTTTGTTTCAGCTCTTTGTGTTCCCCACCTTGTTTTTTTTTTTTTTTTTTTTTTTTAAMAAAACACAAAGCGCCTTTTATTCTGGGAGCCATCAGTCCGGTTGCTTATCGCCGGCAAGCATGAGTTCGGTACTACTTGCCTGTCAAGGGGGGGCCTGCTGCGGACCATCCCACCCCCCAAACCATGGCCTCCCCGGGGGTACTTCTGCTGGCCGGGATATAGCAGAACCCCGTCACGCAGCAGAAAGGTCTCAGGGGGCGGGGCAGGGCGGGGCGGGGCGGGGCGGGGCAGGGCAGGGCAGGGCAGGGGAGGGGTGGTGGCTTCATAGGAGTCTCTTAGGCCGCTTGTCTCCAATCCTCTTCCTGGTTGCATCTTCTAGTAAGAGGTCTTTATTACTATGAATATCTCCCTCTTGCTGTACCCGTTCTTACACTATAGGGCCCTTGAACTTTCCTTTCTTCCCCTCATGCATGTTTTTCGTACAGCATTTCATGTTTTTCATTCAACCTTGGGTGGGCTGCGACGCAGGGCCATTGGTCAGGAGGCAAAGTTGGACCTACGTACCCCAGCCCTAAACTCTGTAAATCTATCTATCTATCAATATATTATATGTAAATCTATCTATTTATCTATATATATACAGGCCTGTTCGGCTGACCCGACTAATTTTGCAGCCAGCTGTGGCCCGCAGCCAGGCCATGCCACCACCTGGCTGAAACCCAGCTGGGCCTGCATGTTCCAAAACTGCCCCTGGACGGCACTTGTCGGCTGCAGCTGGGCCGGGCGGGTTGCAGCCACGGCCACCTGATTGCAGGCACTGCCTGAAAATCCTGAAATTTTGATGCAGTTGTTTTTTGGCAAAATTGCCTGAAAATGCCCTTTTGAGTTGCTGTTTTATGTGT